ATTGAGCACAAGGGTTTGATCAAAAAATTGATAGAGAACACTACCCTTTTTAAATTAATCAGTATATGTTGCATTCTGTTGGTGTAATTTGTTGAAACCAGATGTTTTCGATGATTCCTTGTTAAAAGAAAATATAAAATGTTGACTGTTTTCTTTTTTTTTTTTTTTTTTTTAAGTGAAATGTTGTTAGTTTTTAGTAAAAAAATGTCTTGAGGTTTGTCATTTTACTGTGCTGTACTGCTAAAATTGATAATAAAAAAAGTTGTGATTGCTGAGCATCATTAATATTGATCTTTCTGTAGATCTAAAAAAGAAAAGTGGATGTGCAGAAAAAATCAGAAGAAGAGTTTTGGACTTTGCGGCCTAAACCAGTTGATTAATGATTGTCAACTGAACGGCTGATAATACTGTAAGTTTTTTGCTTCTATATACGTATGTAAACATTAAGAGTAGATAAATTTATTTAATTTAATTGATTACCGATGCACCAAGTGAGAACAAAAAGGAAAAAAAAAAAGGAGGAAGACTCGGTGACAAAAATTTAAAAAAGGACAAACAAAGACCATCTGTCAACAATCATCGTTTTTCTTTGATAAACTGTTGAAAGAAATTCTTGAAACCGTTTTTCCTAACTGCTTCCCACTACCGTCCTCCTTCGACTTCGTCGTCGTCGTCGTCGTCGTCGTCTTCTTCTTCTTCTTCATTTTTTTTATTTCTTGTGCATCTTTTGCAGTTCATTCATTCCCTCTCCACCAATTTCTCCAGTAAAATATTAACTGGCTTCTTGAGTTGACTGTATCATTTACTGGTTAACTGATAATTGAAAGAAGGCATCAATTTTCATTCCTGTTTTTTTTTTTTTTTTTAATTAATAAATTTCTAACACGTTTTCTCTGTGTCAACAATTTTACACCAAGCATCAAAGATGTAAAAACAAAAAAAAAATTAAAGACTAAGAAAAGAAAACTTTCAAGAAATAAATTCTGTGCAAAAAAAAAAAAAAGTAAAAATTGATAATACGAATTCATCTCTTTACCTTACGAACAGAAGTCAGGTATAAAAGCTGTACTAGTCTTAAGTTTATTCAGTTATATTTATCTTCTGCTTTGATTTTGGTTTATTACAATGGTAGCTATTTTCTAAGTAAGATTCTTTAAAATTTCTTCTCTTTCATACACTTAGAGTTTTCAAAAGATATGGTGCGACTCAAAAGAAAAGGAAGGAGAAGGAAGTGAAGAAAACGGGATAGAATACGTGAAGAGAGCAAAAATTCCAGAAAAGAAAAAAAAAAAACAATTCATTAATAAATTTTAGTAAACAACAGCTTTTTTTAGGACCAAAATCGACAAAACTTTTTTGTTGGCACAATTTTATTATTTCATTGTTCAAAGTATCAATCCAATGTCAGTTCTGGTTCTTCTGCATAAAAAATCCACCAGTTTTTGAAGTACCAAAAACAAATGTTCCGGGTCCGACAGCGACTGTTCTTTGGTTCACAACTGCTGTTTTACCAGACCACTTAACAGCACTTTGTGTCCCGGCCACGGTATCTGGCTGTAACCAAACCTCTTTTAGGCTAACCGTTTACCAGCCACGATCACTGAACACATAAACGAAGAAAAAAAGGAACAAGTAAAAACAGCAAAGGCAACTTATTGCTTTCGTATATAATAAAATTTTTAAATTAGCAAAGAAAAACTAATGAAATAAATGAAATAGCAGTTGTTATTTAAAAGTTTCTTTATTCATATTACTAATTGTCCTTAAAAAATTTGCAAACTGTGTCAGTTTATTGCATATATTTATTTATGTACTTTAAAAATGCAGAGTAGTGCCGCTGAGCAGTGACCAAAGATATCAAACTTAACCAAAATTAAAATTCAAAACTGTTAATTATACAGAAAATTAATTAGATTTTATTTATTTATTTATTCATTTATTTTTTT